GGGGGGGGCGTGGGGGGGGGGGGGGGGGGCATTGGAGCCAAGAGGAACACTAAGGTGGCCAGGTATAGGGGGCATTGGAGCCAAAAGGGACACTAATGTTGCCACATATGGAGGGGCATTGGAGCCAAGAGAGGTGGCCAGGTATGGAGGGCATTGGAGCCAAAAGGCACACCAAGTGGCGCCATATGGGGGAGGGAGGGGGCATTGGAGCCAAGAGGCACCCTAAGCATTAGATCTAAGCCATATGGAATGTGGCCACATACGGGGGAGGAATGAATCTAAGCCACCCTAAGATGGAGGAAGCATTGGATTGAAGTCAGCATAAGGAGACCACACATGGGGGGGAGGGGGGTGGGGTTTGGATCCAAGCCAGGACCGCAAAGTTTATGCTTATACACAATAATTATGGCCGTATTTTAGGTCTTGGTAGGATCTTTGCATGTCAGTCATGTTTGTAAAACAAGAGAGCTGTACACACACAGCCACTAAAAAGGGGCCTCTAATGTCACCTGTCACCATCACCTGTCCCCGTGTGCGCCCCCCCCGCCCACTGTCAGTCATGAATAATGACGCACACCTTAGCAATGGCAGAGTTTTAACGGGCCGCTATGTGCAGGGAGGCTCCCCGTCCTCTTACCTTGTTCTCGGGGATGATCAGCACTTCGCTGTTCTCATCCTCCTTCTTGGCGTCTTTCTGCGCCAGCGATGAATTGAAGGCTAACTTGACCATGTTTGCTCAGAGCCCCGGGAGCGGGTAGAGCAGCTGCGGGCGGGGGAGCGGAGACCTGTGTGCGGGGATCGGCTGTGTCTTTGTTGTGAGCTGCCTGAGTCTCCGTGGAGAGGAGGAGGTTGCTGCTGGCGGAGAGGGGGAGGAGCCAGCACGAGTACTGCTTTTGGGAAAGCAAGCATCCCCAGTATCCACTGCCGAGAGGCTCCGCTCCTTCTGCGCATGCTCAGTATTAGGTCTGCGCGCTCCCGATCTCTTGTGTAGGTGACAATCAGCTGAGCTGCAGTGCATACACAAAGCTTAGCTAACCCTTTAACCCACTTTGCGATAGTTTGCTCAGTAAACACAGTCACAAGGCTATTGCTTGCTTAGAATTGTCTCAGTTCACACCATTGCATTGTGGTGGTGCTAGGTTTGCCACCTTTTCTTCTAGCGTAGCCCGAACACTCTAGTGCAGAAATTTTTTAGGAGAATGAGTCGCGCCTTAATGATATGTAAATGGCGCCACCCATTAATATGTAAATATCACAATCAAGACTATTTTCAGTGGGGGGCCAGTAGCCCCTATCTTAATTTTGGTTGCCCCTGTCTGCCTGACATCATGTGTCTGGGTCTCAGCTGCCATGAATCCTGGACAGGTGGCAACCCTAGGTGGTGCGCGCAGAAAAAAAGTGTTGAATACAGTACTTTTGTTGGTGTGATACATCTCACTGCTCTGCGGCTGTAGAACTGAATGAAATGTGATTTGTGATATTTCAATAAAGTTCTAAAAAAAGTAAACAGTGCGTGTGGGCATCTGCGCATCTCCCTTGTTTCTTTCACTGCACACCAGCAGCTGTGCATTTAGCATGGCTTGCTGGTGTCATTTCACCCTTAGCCTCGATTCACACTTGGTGTTGCATGAACGCGCACAAAAAGCACATCATGTGCGCGTATTGCACGTTCATGCATCACAAAAGTCGGAACGAGGCCTCAAAGTGCAACTAAAGGCAAAACTCTTTTTTTTAAAGTTTTGGAGAGGGATTAGAGTGCATGCTGCTGTCTGTGTCCCCGGTAGGGAGATTCACCGTCTCTATTTGTCCGGAAAGTGAAAGAAAATCCCACATTTTGGGTTGTCATCATAACAGGAATAGATGGGAAATCTTCCATTGGGGACATTAGTTCTGGTGACCCTGCTGACCGCCAGGGATTTACCACACTTTGGAAGGATTTCCTCTCACTTCCTGTTGTGGCTATCAGACAGGAGGCGAAGGGAAATGTCCCCCAATGGGTCACAGGTGGCATAACAAAGCTGACAAGAGTTATAACCCTCCCTTACTCTAGCCCAAACTAATACAAAATAAATAAATCTGGCTTTAGTTCTACTTTAAAGGCTATGTTTATCTTTCTGACCATGTTTCCGGTTACTTAAATTGCAGGGTTCTTGTCCCTACAGGCGTGTTTACAATTTTGAATTCGGCGTGGCTCCGATACAATGCAATACAAGAACAGTGATGTCACCACGTCTGTCCTATGACACTTCCTCCTTTCCATGTTACTGAATGTCTTTACCTTGGTATGGACGTGGACAGGAGGAAGAGTCTGCAAGAGCCAGAACATTGCACCCGAGATGCATTGATCACAACGGCAATGCTTTAGTGTCTCCTATCCAAAAAAATCATAAATGCACCTTATTTTTTTCTTTTATGAAGAAGTTTCCATTTATTTATTTTTCAGATGGTGGTATTTCCCTTGATTGACTGCAGCCAGAGGGTGAAGAGTGTGAAATGCTGCAGTCATGGAGGAACATGATGTAGGATGCTGGTATGGGGAAGCTTCAGCAGCTTTGGGGGAGGTTTGGCTCAGCCATGTTGCCAGAACATCACCCTGCACAGGAGATCAGAAACAAGCAGCCTATACACTGAACATGATGAGTTACAATAGGATGTGCAGGCACACAAATAAGAGTCACAGGAGCGTGCACACAGGCAGGGATACAGCTGTTTCAAATGCTGATTAAATCACTTATAATGGATGCTGCTTGTTGATGTTTAAAGGCCAGTTCACACCAATTGCGGTGCATTCCAGAGCGGTAGCTGCTGGAACGCATAGCAGTCGCACACTAAACTCCCCCCTTTCGTTCTGCGCGGGAAGGGGGGGTGGTAGTGCATTGAAGTAATTGGCACTGCAGCCATGCTCCCCGCCCACAGTACGATCGGATGTGTGTCAAAACATTGCCTGCGTTCCAGTTCAGTGCATTTTACTGCATTCGCAGTGGACCGGAACGCAGGCAATGTTTTGCCATGCATCCCACCGCACTGCATAGGGGGCATGGCTGCGATGCCGTTGACTTCAATGCACCACCACGCCCCCTCCCGCCGCAGAATGAAGGGGGGAGTTTTGTGTGCGATTGCTTTTCGTTCCAGCAGCTACCGCACTGCAGTTGGTGTGAACTGGCCCTTACAGGGCTATTTAAGAAAGGGTGAAGAGTTTGGAGCTGGCAGGAGAAGGGGGCAATCTAGGACAACATAGCTGAACTGGAAAGTGAGTTGAATTGGAGAATTGTTCCAAATCAGCTATGTTGTCCTAGATTGTTCACTTCTCCTGCCAGCTCCAAACTTTTCACGCTTTTGTGAATAACCCTTTAATTTTCCTGCGGAATCAGCTGGCCCCCTGAGCGCTGGTCCTGATATCCTGTTTTGACCTGGCCATACACCCAGGGGCGTATCTGCCGCGAGGCAAACAGGGTGTTTGCCATGGGTGGCAGTTTTCAGGGGGGGGGGGCAAAAATGCCGTCCCCAAAACAGTTAGGTAGCTGGGCGGAGGCGGAGGAGTCAAAAGACGCAGAGAAGTCGGTGCGGAGGCGATAGGAGGCAGAGGAGGCTACGGTGGAGGAGGCGGAAGAGGCAGAGGAGGCGGGGCAGCAGGAGGGGGGCGAGGGGGAGCAGCAGGAGGGGGCAGGGCGAGGCTGGGACGACGTTGGATCAGGAAGGGGTGGGGCCAGGGAGCCGTCACACCGTGGGAAGCCGGGTCACCGAAGAGCTGTCGGGTTGCAGATGAGGCCGGGTCCTGAAGCACCAGTGGAGGAGGCCGGGGACCAAGCAGCAGGTAAGATGATCACACTGCTGCTAAAGGGATCCTGCAGAGCCCAACAATGGATTCTGCACAGCTCACCTGAGAGTCTCGGGTGGGCTGTGCAGGATCTGTAATGGGCTCTGTGGGGTCTATGGTTGGCAGAGCCCACCACACATCCTGCGTGGGTCTGCAGGATCTCAGGAGGTGTGTGCATTATCTGTGGTGGGCTATGCGGGGTCTCAGGGCGGCTTTACAGGATCTGTGGTGGGCTCTGCGGGGTCTATGGCAGAACCCACCACAGATCCTGCACAGCCCCCCTGAAATCCTGCAGATTTAGTGTGAGGGGTTGCCCTAGTTTCGTCTTGCCTAGGGCAGCCCCAAACTGTCCTTCGTCCCACCTTTTAGGCTCAATTCACACGAGAGGGCGGATGCGAATTTTAAAAGGCCATTTTTGGGGGACGTTTTTAATCCAGTTTCAGCGCTGAAAATAAAAAGTTTTTAAAAAAAGCAGTTCAAATTTTTTTATATTAAATAAAGTAAAAACAATTTGACATTTTTTTTAGAGGCCCCCGCGAGCATGCATGCATTGGCGTAAGCACGCATCGGGTGCACCTACGCACGATTACGACGATCACGCTACACACGTTGAGTATCGCTGAGCACGCAAGAATGAGAGCAATCATTCTAGTGCCAATATTTACGTGTATCCCTAAACTAATGACCTGTAGAAGCTTTTAAAGTGTCATCTATGGACTTTTTGGGTGCTAAATTTTGTTGCCATTTCACGGATGCACGCAATTTTTAACCAGGGCATGTTGGGTATCTATTTACTAAACGTAACCTCATTTTTTATATTTTACCAAAAAATTGTTATTATATTGCATTTCAGGGCACTAAAATAACTTCAGTGCATTCTTAGCTTTCAAAAATAATATCATATTTTGGGTGTTAAGTAATTTTCAGGCCTAAAATGTGGATTGTAACACGTGTGCAAAAAAAAAAAAAAAGGCCTTGGCAGCGAAAGGGTTAAAAGAAGGATCTGGAATACTGGAAGGTACATGCAACAGGTCCAGTGACTAGCTACTGACAGCTTACTCAAAGCTACAAATGGCCCTGGGTCTGCTGGGCCACCTAAACCATTGGGGCAATGCCAACCTTTCCTTTTGTCAATGTGGGTAGGGGGTGTGGCAGTGCATGGCAATGCCACGGTGTAGTATGGCAACTTTGGCACCCAGGACTCTCAGCCAGAGCGGCTGAGAGGTTCCACAATGTGAATACCTTTGGAGAGGAGGAACTGGCTGTTCAATTCCTTCCAGGTTTTCCAGACTATAGTGGGATGAGATCTCCAGTCCTGGGGCCAGGTGTTGCCAGTGGCCAGGTTGAGCTGATCAGGTGGCTGAGAGCAGACTCATTAGGAAGCCAGCCCAGTGCTTTAGGCCTTGTTCACACCAAGCGCAGAGCAGGTGCAGAGCAGAGCAGTTGCAGACCGGATCAAAACTGCGTCCAATGTATTCCAATGGTATTTTTTGCTCGAGTTCACATCGCAGCGTGCAGTTCTAGAGCAGGTCCAGAGCAGGTGAAAAAACTGCAGCAGGTCCTATTTTACCTGCTCTGGATCTGCAAATTCATCAGAAACGCATGCAAATGCCTAAAACGCACTGAAAGCCCATTTTTAAACTTTTTTTAAAAACACATTTTTTCCCCCCCGCCATAAACGCGTCAAAAACGCATCTAAAAGACTAGCATGCGTGTGCAGAAACCTGACCGGATCTGCTCTGCATTTGGTGTGAACAAGGCCTTGGAGGAGAGTTGTGGGTGTGCAAGACGACACCACGACAGGCAGACTCTGCTGCATGCGTGAGCACAAGGGACACAGCCAGAGTGGCTGGAGAGGTCCAGTGGGTTGGCGACCCTGAGATACCTGTCGGGGAGACAGCGAGGGACAGTGACCCACGAGGGGTGAATACTAAAAGGCTTGGAGCTGAGGAAAGCTGATGAGGACTGTATTTCCAGGGCAAGTCCTGGGACTATCACACTGGGAGTGTATGGGACAGCCAGATGTCGGTGAGACCGAAAAAC